CGAGCACCATCCGAAAGACACCTCCCATCGTTTGGTTGCAACCTCATACCACTTAGTTCATTCATTGTACCTACGTGCAGAATAGAGAATATGCATCTTGGGGGGGGAGGGGGGGGGGACAAATGACTACACTTTCAAGAATTTATGCCCCTAAAAAAGAATATGCATACAAAGACTTGGTAGCTTATGGTTTATAGCACATGAGACCCACAATTAAGATAATCGGGTAGGGTCTGGGCATACCATGGATAGAAAATTTTACCCACGACTAGTCGCGTAGGGTTCGGGCACTGCTCTTGGACATGAAAATGTGCTCATACCCTACCCATGCAGGCCGGTTACCCATGGATATCCATTTCCATGGGTAAAATGGTCGGGCCTCTCTACGCTTATTGTGCTAGTCCCTGAACCAATACCTAGCATGCATAGTACATGATGAAATACCAAGATAATCACGTGTTAGAAGTATTAAATGGCAGATCCAGTCTCCAATACAATACATACATGCTTAGCTCAAGGCTAGCTTACATTAGAATACATCAGAAAACAATAATATCTCTATGGTGTCCATCCACTCGCAGGCATAAGCTAAGTACAAACATCTTAAACCTACTTCGCATCACTAACTCATCTTTGAGAAAACCCGCAATATGACACGTTGTAGCCCCAAGGGTTTACACATTGAATGTATGGCAGGTTTCACCGAAATGTATAACATACCTAATCATGTATTGGGGAAGTGTAGGCCCGTTTTTCTTTTCCAGAAAGCAAATGTAGATTTTCCTTAATTTTATAATAGGTGGATCTACTCTAATATTGGACATACTACATCACACAACCTCCCTAGACGACCTACTCTCAAACCCAAAGGAAATCACTACAATTAGATGCTTCTTAGAAGAGGTCTATTCTTCAGTCCATCAAGTTTTAGTTAAGAAATGGTGGTGGTGTGACCTTCATGATAGTTCCATGTGAAGTTGCTCAAAATTGCGCATAACCGAGGACGCAAGCAGTGGCGGAGCTTGAAAGAAATCTTTGGAGGGGCGAATCTGTGGACGTAGTGCTGGGTCTCGCTGCAAGAATTCAATCCCTCGGAATTGGACTTCATTTGTTTGAGTTTCATGGCCTTGTTGTTGAGGCATCGAAGGATGTTGTCCGTGTTGCTCAAATTCAAGCAACAACAGAGGAGGCTGAACAGGAATTACTTTCATTGTTGTTGGTTCATCAGCTTCACATTCAGTTGAATCACCTCGCTTTCTTTTGAAAAATGCATCAATTGTTTTCCCTTAAGCATCACTGCCTCCCTCGGTCCCTCTTAATCTTTAAAGGACATTTTCTATTCCAGTACAAAATCCAATTGACAAAATCTAATTTACAAAATCAATGACGAGATGACCACTAATTTTTCTTTCTCACCAAAGGTTCCTCCACTAAGGTAACAAAGCTACATAATCTGGGAGATGCAGAAAATTATACAGGGAGCTGCATCTCCAACAATGACCAGATGAAAAGACCACATCTAATTAGAATTTTTCCTCCACTACAAAGCTACGGAGGTCACAATATTTCAACTTTCCAAATTTTCCATAGGGGAGAGATTGAGATAGATACAGGGAGGACAGTCTGCTCACACGACTCACCGAGGCACTGCGCGACGTTGACGGAGCCTGATGCTGTAGCGGACAGCCATAGCCGAGGCATAAGTGGATCTGTGGATGAACCTGAGCGGAGGAGGAAGGAGCCGACCAATCCCAGGTCCGGCCACCCGCCAGCGGTCGCCCCCAGTCCCCCACGCCGGCAAGCCACGGCGCCAGCAGCCAATCTCCCAGACGCCGGTGCCCCACCCCCATGCCCCAGCCGTCCGCGGTCTAGTTGGGGAAAAGAATTCTAGAGATGGAGTAGTGGAGTAGGTCACCGCCTGGTCTGGTGGCTGGATTCGTGCGTATCTAGGGCTCCAGGCATCGTTGACTAAGTCCTAGCATATGAGTGGGCCTGATACATAGGGGTATGAGAAAATTTTCATTTTCGCTGGGGGGCGACCGCCCAGGTTCGCCCCCGCGAAGCTCCGCCGTTGGACGCAAGTAATCATTGATCACGTTTTACACTCTCGAAAGCTTTGTGTACTTTGCCCGCATGATCCTAGTCAATCCTTCTTGCCACTAAACATACATAAATGTAGAGTTGCAAGGATGACCAAGATGAGACTTTTCAGCGGCAGTATCATGTGCTACCTTGGTAGACTCATGCCAACCTACTTATAACAACATATGCTGGTCTACCAGACATGTTTCCCGCAACTTAGTCAACACAAAGCCCATAATGACACACAGTTACACGCACCAAAGCTATTTAACTTGGAACCTGTAAAATCTCTTTGATTTCTAGGTGGAATACCACAAGTGTATGTTCCACTGAGTCTGCCATAGAGATGGCCCCATGGGAGCCGCTCAATTTCATTTCCCGCCAAGCAACTAGTTCCACCCAGACGATTCATTAATGAAGTGATTACTTAATAGCCATCAATAAAATATCAACCTTCATAGTAGTTAGTGTGGTCCCACCCCATTGTATCGTAGCAATCAAAGCATTGATTGCACGTTGATTACAAGGAATAAGGTAAGGATCATATGGTTGTTCTACTAGGTTTAGCAATAACATAGTACATTAAATATTTCCTACCTACCTACTTCCAATGCTATTCAAGAGTTCTACATCCATAGAAAAATAAGTGTGACATGATCAGAGGTTACACTTTCCTTGTATTGACGAAGTTCTTCACCTCACAACATTGGTATTGCTACTCTTTTCTATCTCAAAAGTCTATCATAAGAAAATAATACAATAAACAAACATTCAATACAGAAGAATTAAACAAACAACAAAGCTTAACTTGGTATAAGGTTTGGGTTTCTTTAGTACTATGAGGTGATAGGTGTTGGAATCAACTCAAAAGAGTTAATGGGAGATGACTATGGCTTCACAAGTTTATAATTGAGGTGGCTTGTGATGGGTCAAGTGTTTGGAATGCAACACACATGTTGCTCATTGGACTACATTTTTTTAGAAAAGGAGGATGACCCCCGGCCTCTGCATCTGGGCGATGCATGCGGTCACTTTATTAATTATTCTCACAAGATCTTACAAAGTTATACAACAGCAAGACTAAAGCCACCGTCTAAGCAACAACTGTTGCTACACCTATCCAATTGATGAAGGGGCGCTGATAGCCTAGGCCTAATACCGAACAGACATCGCAGCCAAACCTAAACATCTAAGACCTGAGGTCCCAACTAGGACGCCTTCTTGATATGGGGCACCTACCAGTCCGGCGCACTCCTCAACCAGGACGCCTGCCGGGTATGAGGCCGCCGCAGCCACCTGCCACGAGGCCATCTTCAGAGTTGTACTGTTGCATCTATCGTGCCAGGTCTCTCTGCCATCGACGCCACCACGACGCCAGACATCGTCGTCCTCCTGCGCGAGTCCATCCTCCCACATCGGACTCCGAATCTACACTGCGCCACGCTGTCAAGATCTGTCGCCATCAATGTATGGATGAAGCACCGCTACACCAAAGAAGTCGTCCGCTGGTCCCGCGAAGCCGAGTGCACCTCCAAGAATGCCGCCCCCAAGGGGGTTACGACACATGATTACCGCCAACATCCGATCAGCTGATCTAGGCTTTCCCCCGGAGGTATTGAGTGGAGTTGGGAGCTTCACCTCGATGATGTCTTCATGAAGGAAACGATGATAAGGGCATCGTCATCATCGGCCCCGGCCATCGACCGAAGACCAGGTTTTCACTCGGATCCGTTCCAAGAAATCCACACAACAAACTGTGCACTGTCTCGACCGCCTTCAAAGCCCCAGATCCAGTCGCCTAGATCCGGCGACCAACCGCAACAACAGTGCCACCGTGGGATCCCTGGCGCATCGGCCACTGCTGCCTGAGTGTGCCACCATTGGAGCCTAGGAAGAGGGCTCCCACCCCGCCTCGCCAAGCCACGAGAGCCATCGAAAAGGATCCCCGCACTTGTCACCGTCTCTGATCCGAACCAATCCATAGCAGATCGCCATCACAGATCCGCCTTGGACAGGGACTGCACCATGCCATGTCGTCGCGGGAAACCCTAGCTTCACCGGCCACCACCCTCCAGGGTCGCCGCCCCGGGATCCAGACAGAACATTGCCGCTGCGGCCGGCCAAGTTCCGCCGCCGCCGACCGGCCAAGCCGCCGGTCACTGCGACCACCGCCGCCATGCGAGCACAGCCAGCCAGCCGACCAACTCCGACGAAGAAGAAGGCCACCACCAACAAGCCTAGGGCCGACGCCCCAGACATCCTCGTGATGCAGATCTGGTCCAGGAGCAGTGCACCGCTGACGGCGATTGAGATCGGTAGCACAACGAATTAGCCCAACTGAGTCAAGGCCAGATCCGCCGTTGCTGGTGCCGTCCTCCCCCGCCGCCGCACCACTTCCATGTCGCCGCCGATGTACGCCACCGCCGCCGATTTGGCCAGAAAGGAGCGCCGCCTCCCAACCAGATCGCGATCCGAGGAGAAAACCGCCGCCGCCGCCACGCCACAAGGGCTTTGCCCTGTGACGCCCCGGGCGACGGCGGCGGAGAGGAGCGGAGGTGGGGCGAGGCTGTAGGAGGAGGGCGGGGGCTCCCCGGTGCGGGGCGGCCCCGCCGCACGGGGGAGGGGACGGGGGAGGGGCGTAGTCACTGGACTACATATGACTTAAGGTTCATGTGCAAATGGTTTTGGTTTGGGTAGGAACACTGCTACAACTCAATTTTTAATGGAATATGATTTGATTTGAGTTCAAACTCAACTAGGTCAAGTGATTTGGATATTGGTATCAAGTGAGTTTCTGATAGGTAAGGTTTCTTTGCATGATTCAAAATGCAAAAAGGAATCATTGCAATTAGGTGAGGGGTTAACAAATTCATTCAAATATGAATGACCTCAATTTGAATTTAAGAATGTACGCAAGGATTCATGTTGAATGTGGAAGTTATGATTCAAACTGGTTCGTTTTCAGATTTGAAATAATTCATACTTGATGGGTAGGGTTGGTCACAAAACAGCTAAATGGGCTGTGGTCATCATTTGAATTAATTTTAAAAAATGTGCATTTGATTTTGACTTGTGGTTTGGCTTCGAATTTATTTGAATTTGAATTCAAACCTTATTTAAACGTTGAAGCCAAACATACACCAATGTGGCAGCCACATCCCCCTCTTTTTTCCCCTCCGAATCAGTTTTGACCTTATTTGATCAAATAAACGAGCTTACAACCTAAATTTGTCAATCGACTTCTTGGCCTAAAATTGGTAACCAATTTGAGTTAAGGCACTAATGGTGGATTTCACTCTTCTTATAACTGGAGTGGGCGTAGGGACACAGACTTTTCACCGACGAGTTACAAAACTTACAAAACAACTTGATCAGCTTGGCATCATGGCATGGCAGCCGATGCTGCATTTTCAGCCGTCCCTAATATTCATGTCCTTTCCACGATCTTGATCAGCTTGGCATGGCAACTGCATTGGACACTCTATGCGGACAAGCATTTGGCGCCAGGCAGTACCACCTCCTTGGCATCTACAAGCAACGCGCAATGGTGGTGCTCACCGCCGCAAGCGTCCCGCTTGCCGTGGTGTGGTTCTACACCGGCGAGATCCTGCTCCTGTTCGGGCAGGACCCCGACATCGCCGCGGAGGCGGGCACGTACGCGCGGTGGATGATCCCGGCGCTCTTCGCCTTCGGCCTGCTGCAGTGCCACGTCCGGTTCCTGCAGACGCAGAACATCGTGCTCCCGGTGATGCTGAGCGCCGCCGCGACCGCGCTGTGCCACCTCGTCGTCTGCTGGCTGCTTGTGTACGTCCTCGGCCTCAGCAGCAAGGGCGCCGCGATCGGCAACGCCGTCTCCTACTGGATCAACGTGGTCATCCTAGCCGTGTACGTGAGGGTGTCGAGCTCCTGCAAGAAGACATGGACGGGGTTCTCCATGGAAGCGTTCCATGACCAGCTCAGCTTCTTCAGGCTCGCCGTGCCGTCCGCTCTCATGGTCTGGTGAGTGAGTTTTCCTTTCAAATTGGCAAGTGAGATCTGGTGTTTCTATTTGACATTGCCATTGCAGCTTGGAATGGTGGTCGTTCGAGACCCTGGTGCTGCTTTCGGGGCTTCTTCCGAACCCCAAGCTGGAGACGTCCGTCCTGTCCATCACGTAAGATATATAGATAACCTCACCAGCGCAGCGACTCTTACCGTCCTTATTCCCTTCACACTGGTCTCATGCATGTTCTTGGTGACAGCCTCAACACCGCCAACTGCTTGTTCATGATCCCCTACGGCCTCGGCGCCACCATAAGGTAAACTACTTGCAAATTCATTAACTCAGCTGGGTGTCTCACTGACTGGTCACATTAGTGCTCATTTGTTTCTTGATCTATGATCTGATCTGACCGCGCAGCACCCGGGTTTCGAACGAGCTGGGCGCCGGTCGACCAGGGGCTGCCCGCCTCGCCGTGCGCGTCGTCATGTTCTTCGCCATTTTGGAAGGGTTGATCATGGGCGTCGTCCTGGTCTCTGTGCGCCGCGTCTGGGGCCACGCTTACAGCGACGAGGAGGAGGTCGTCACGTACGTGGCCAAAATGGTGCTGGTCATTGCGGTCTCCAACTTCCTCGACGGCATTCAGAGCGTTCTCTCAGGTATGCAAACGGCCATGGATTCACTTCTCAGCAGGGGAGCAGCTTGTCTCGGACAAATAACCCTCACGGATTAGTTGGCATGTAGGTGTGGCTAGAGGCTGTGGGTGGCAGAAGATCTGCGCCTGCATCAACCTCGGCGCGTTCTACGCCGTGGGCATACCGGCGGCGTACCTGCTCGCCTTCGTGCTGCACGTCGGCGGGATGGTGCTCATCCTTGATTTCTTTCGCAAGTTTTTGCCTCTTTTGGGTTCGATAGCATGCTGATGGTGTGGAAATAATTTGGATGGGCAGGGACTTTGGATCGGAATCATCTTCGGTATTCTGGTGCAGGTCTTGCTGTTCGTGGCCATCACACTCTGCACCGACTGGCACAAGGAGGTATATATATGTTGAAAGATTGTTTTCCGTTTTGGCAGATTTATGTTCATGCGTGTAATTAGTATACGGTAATACTACATGCTTTGTCAACTGAATATGTGTATGTATAATGCATAGGCTACGAAGGCGAAGAACAGAGTCTTCACTTCTTCTCTTCCGACGGATCTACTAGAGAAATGAAGATATGGGGTAGTGCTGCTGAAGTAGCCAACATATGCTTAGCATGGAGGAGAGTGTGCGGGCAGGGCCTGCAAGAGCAGATACGTAAGAAGACAGAGCACATGGTCTGGTCTTGTGATTTTGGTCCAAGTTCCCAATTCCCATGGCATAAAAAAATGTTTGCTATCATACGATGAGATGTGTCCATTTCCAAAAAAATACGATGAGATGTGTGAGCAGAATAGGGATGCCATGAAATCCCGAGAAAATCCGCATACAAGTACTCCCTCCGTTTCAAAATTTTTGTCTTAGATTCGTCTAGATACAAATGTATCTAATACTAAAATATGACTTCATACATTCGTATTTAAACAAATCTAAGACAAGAATTTTGGGACGGAGAGAGTATATGGCAAGGTCAATTATATGTTGTTTTCCGTTTTTTTTTGCCCGCAAAAAAAATTATATATTGTTTTTAAATGAAAATTTCACTAGGTCGACTTTAACATACTACTTGTGTGCGGGTTTGCACAGGCTCTCGCTTGCATCCTAATACTTTCTTTTAAATTTGCGAACATTATTTCAGATCGTGAACATTATTTATAGTTACAAACATTTTTTAAATCACAAACATTTTAAAAAATGAGGATCATTTTTAAATTGTTAATATTTTTAAATTAATAAATATTTTTGAATCCATGAATATTTTTTCAAATCACAATATTTTTAAATTCATGAACATTTCTTGAATCCATGAATTTTATTTAGATTTATGAACATCTTTATTCATTGAATATTATAAATCCAATAACATTTTTCAACTCCAACGTACAACCGCTAAGTGGGGCTGAGAGCATGCCGGTCGGAAGGCGCGACACTGAAGCAATGTGGTGGCCGAGAGCGCCGCCTCCCCTTGCTCTCCGCACCACATTGAATGCTGGGTTAGAGCGACATGATCGGACGACTCGGCGAGACAGATTCCCACTGCATTGAACCCGGATGCCCATCCCCATCCGTCCGCGTGTTGGCATTGAACATGTGCGACAGCCGAGAAACTTACTTCTGGAGCCCGCATTCAAACTGCCGCTGGGCTTGCCTGGCATGACTCGCTATATAAAGACATCCATGACACAACCCGCACCACATTTGAGCCGAGCCACATCTTTGGTAGTCCTAGCTGCCAGTGCAGCCGTTTACCTCTCCTGCTCCTGATGAGGACATGACTACCTTGGATACGACCAAAAATATTGCATACATGCATATTTGTCAGGTGATTTCTAATGCAAACTATTCAATAGTCTATTTATGTTATTCAGAACAAAAATACTTCACACACTTTTGTGTTTTGTCCAATTGCAGGTGTATGGGACATTTGTACAATCCACATATGAAGATAAGGGAAAAGAAGATGTTTAGGTTGTGTTCAAAAAGTCCTCTCACGTCACTTTTGGGCCAAGAGAAGATAGAGTCCAAGTCTCTCACGTTCTGGATTCAGATTCGGACTGCACAGACATACCTGACTCAAAACGCAACAACTTTTTCATACGGACTCCGAATTGGGTGATTCTTTTTTTGTTGGAAACTAGATTTCGTGCTCTTTCCATTCCAATTGGATTCACCTTCAAATTCTTCCGGAGCGTTGAGTTATGAACGAAACAATCCGACGCTGCAGCAGAATCCGAGTCAAACTACAAGCCCAAAGGTGTTGCATCATCTCCACTTGGGCCCATGAGCCTTGTACGACCTAGAGTTAGTTTTAGGCTGCCTTGGGACGTCCTCCCACCTTCTTGGCCGCCACCCCTTGCTCCTATATAAGTAGATCCATCTAGTAGCTTTTTGCTGGGGATTTGTTTAGTTAAAAGTTAGCCATTGCAACTTTGTGTACTTCGTTTGTGTCCAACGACCAAACCAAGACCGCTTCCGGATCCCCACCATTATCAATACTTCATATATATTTGCGATATTCAGATTGCTTTATCATATTCTTGCTCGTTCTTCAATTGCTTGCAGGAATAGACCTTCGTGGTCAGGCTGACCATGCTTCCAGCATCGTCAGTAACCTCAGGAGATTGGTTTAGCGGTTGCTAAGGCGCAACGTCGTGCACGTTTGTAGTCGGATCGTCAAAGTTGTCTCCACCAAATCGATAGTTATCATCTCATCGAAAGATCGGGACCCTCGCCTCTATCAAGTGGTATCAGTTTTCAGGTTGCTCGGTGAGAATTTCCAGTTTTCCTAGATTAGATTTATTTTCTTACCTATTGTCCAAGAAAAATCAACAAAAAAGAGTTAGATCTATTCATCATTTGTCCAAGCCAGTCTGAGCCTTTGCAATTTTCTTTTCATTGCTTGCATAGTTGAATTATCGGTTGCATCGTCGTGTCGAGTTGCTGGTCTTAGTGTCTAGGTCGTTTAGAGTTTCGAGTTCTGTTCACATTAGTCATGTCACCGCTGCATCGTTATCCCTTCCGCTGTCCATCACTCATCCATCAATTTCCTCAACGTGCTACCCACCGTTCATTATCATAATCATAGTTGAGATCGTTCCCATCTTCGCTTGATCCAATCTACATCTTATCTAGTTTGTTTTGGAAAGAGGGAGAGCGAAAAAAAGATAGAGAAAAAAAACGAGAGAAAAAAAAGAAAAAAAAAGTCAGAGAAAAAAAAAGAAAGGAAAAGAAAAAAAAAGTGTGAGAAAAAAAAGAGAGGAGAAAAAAAACAAAATTCGGATCTATCTAGACTCAGTCTCGTAGTTGAATTCGGATTGGAATCTGTTTTGTGCACTATTCAGTAAAACAGGCATAACTTCCTCATATGAAGTCTGTTTTGGCTCCGCGAGTACTCAAATGAAAGCTAGCGACGAGCCGCATCTAAATAGTTGCAGAAGCTAATTCAGTATTTGGCACCTCAACATCAGCTTCTAAATAGGTCTACTGCTATTGTGATCTTCACTTATATCTTGCTGTCCAGAGCTACTTCATATCCTTTATTGATGCTAGTTGTGCTACGACGTGACCTCATTAGTGTTCTAGGCTCGCGTCTCTAGTTTGGTCTAGCCTAGGACCAGCACAGTACCGTCGTTGAGCGTTTATTCAACATTGCATCTCCGAATTGATTATTGTTAATCTTTTGCTACCATATATAGCCAACCCAGCTCCACATATTTCTACACCGTGTATACGTACGTTCCTCTGGCAATCGCTTTACACAATCTTCAGAGTTATTTGACACCGCTGGTTGCCTGTCACCACCTGCTACTTGGTAAGAACTTGTAAGATATTGATATTTGCTTTACTGTGAGCACTTTACCACCACACCCTGGTAGTTCATAGGAACATTATTCTTGAATTTTGTTTCTTATTTGTACTAATCATGACAGGTTCCGAAGATAGAAGTTCTTGGACGACGGACACATCTTCACCATCACGAGAGTTGGGACAACACACACAAGCACATGGTCAGGTTATTTTTTTACCGTCATTTGAGGGTAGATTTAATCCTACTACTTATCTAGCTTGGGAGCTTGAAGTAGAACAAGTTTTTAGTCACCATGACTTTTCTGAACTTGAGCGAGTGCGAGCAGCCACTAGAGCATTTACTGATTTTGCTTCTGTTTGGTGGAGTGTACATTGTAAGAAAAACATTGATAACCAACCCACAACTTGGAAAGTTTTGAAAGCTGTAATGAGACAACAATTTTTCCCTCCTTATTATCGTCGTGAATTGCTTCGCAAATTTGAACAATTTAAACAAGGCAACAACACTGTTCATGCTTACTACCAAGAGTTTAAATCTTATATGCATCATTATGACATAGAAGAATCTGAGAATGATACAATGAATAGATTTTTTGGTGGTTTGAACCATAATATTCAGGCAAGATTTCAGTATATTCCTCGTTGTATTACTGGTATGTATGTCCGTGCCTGTACCTTTGGGAGACAGATACAGGAGGATGCATTAGGTGACTACAACAATTACTATTCCAGTTCATGCTCACCACCGCCGGTGGGTTCCTCCATCATTGCACCTCGGATTATGAGTGCGGCATCATCTCAAGGGTATGGTACATTGTCAACGTCCGTACCTACATCAGTTACATCTTTGCCACAAGGTAACAGTCAAGGTATTGATGATATAACTTCACATGAGAATGATGCATGCCTAGTTAACTTGAATGCGTCATGTACTGAGTTACCTGTTGATTTGAGCACACCACCTATTTTAGAGAATCTTGTTACTGTCATAAATGCGTCATGTGATCAAACAACTGAAATATTAACAATTTTGAGTGCACCCATTGAATTAACTGTTGATGCAAAAGAACTAATGTTTAATCATTTTGATATGGCCTCTAATCTTGGTGATGATTCTGTGTCCAATGACTTATTGCATGTTTGCTTATTTAAGCATGTTGTAGCATGTAAATTTGATGCAAGTAAGGTTTATTCATCAAAGTTGGGATGGTTTAATGATGAACATTGCGAATCTTTTGAAGTGATTAAGAGCTTCACTTATATGTGCAAACCGAGTTGCAATATTTTCATGCCTTCTACTTCTTGTGATAATTTTTTGGCTTTAGATTTTATGAACAATGAAAGTTACTCATGTATGTGCAAAAATCAAGGGAAGTTAAAATGGATGACATATACATATACAACATGTACACCTGGTCTCTTTTGTTAGCCACATTTCAGATTAAGCAATGCCGAGGACGGCTTTGTTTTTAAAAAGGGGAGGATGATGAGGACATGATTACCTTGGATACGACCAAAAATATTGCATACATGCATATTTGTCAGGTGATTTCTAATGCAAACTATTCAATAGTCTATTTATGTTATCCAGAACAAAAGTACTTCACACACTTTTGTGTTTTGTCCAATTGCAGGTGTATGGGACATTTGTACAATCCACATATGAAGATAAGAGAAAATAAGATGTTTAGGTTGTGTTCAAAAAGTCCTCTCACGTCATTTTTGGGCCAAGAGAAGATAGAGTCCAAGTCTCTCACGTTCCGGAT